GGGGAGGCGGCGGGCGAGGCGGGGCGGGGCCGTGGAGCAGGAGGAGGGGGAGGTGGTGCGGGCGGCGGAGCCGGCCTTGCTGCGCGGACCAGGGGGTGGCAGCAGCCTCCGCTCCACTCCGGGCCACTGGCTCGCGCTCCCCCGCTTCCTCCGCCACCTTCTCCCGCGGCCTCGGCGAGCAGCAGGAAGCGCGGGGGGCGGGGCGGGGAGGAGCACCCGCGGGACTGCCCGACCCGCTCCTCCCCGAGGGGCCCTGCCTCTGCCTCCTGGAAGCCCCCTCCTCTTGTCCGCACTGAAACACAGGAGAAACGAGGGGCGCGTCGGCCCGCCACGTGGCTCGGCTGTGTCGCGCTCGCTCGGTTTCTGTCGCGCGGCCGCCAGCCCTCCCGGGTGTGCAGCCAGGCCGGGCTCTTTCATGACGGGACGCCCCGCCACGCCGCTCGTATTCCTGCCCTGGAGCTGTAATTGCAGCGCTGCGTGGGGGTAGCGAGGGCAGGTTTATCATCACTAGCACACACAAAAGGCTGGTTAGGCCAGTAAAGCACCTCGGGACAAGTTACTGGCAAAAACCCCAAACCCTGAACAGGCAGCACAGGCTGGTCGTTGTGCCCCAGAATTAATTTGCAACATCCAGAAGGCAGAAGAGGCTGCTGCAGGGGACAGGAAAAACGACTTGCATCACCTGAGAGAGAAAGATCTTTTATTAGGCCAACTGCACAGTAGTTTAGACAAGCTTTTGAATTTGTGACGTCTTCATTTGTCAAAGGGTATATTGCGTTCAACAGCTTGCCTAATTTTACTACACAGTTGTCGGGTAAGATACCAATCACCCTAAGAAATCCTTGCCTCTGGGCCTTTGCTACATTTTTCTTACACTTTCCCCATCTGGTCACTCACTGAACTTCGGAAGTGCAGCTGTGGGAGGCCACTGCACACAAGCACGTGGTGCAGCAGCGCAGGTGGCTGTGGCCAACAGTGGTGTGGGCAACCCCCACTGGCCTGGTCTCTGCCCACTCGGGAGTTAGAGCCCCCTGCTTTAGACCACTAACCAGTATCAGAATCCAACATCTTAAGGCAAGAAAGGGCCGTAGTAACCATATAATACTACTGTAGTTGTTTACAGTGATGCAGTTCACTTTTTTTTTCCTTTTACCAACTCTATGCTCTTTTCCACAATTAAAACTACAGGCATACCTCATTTTATTGCGCTTCGCTTTATTGCGCTTCGCAGATATTGCGTTTTTTACAAATTGAGGCAAGACCCTCCACCAGCAAAAAGATTACAGCTCGCTGAAGACTCAGATGATGGTTAGCATTTTTTAGCAATAAAGTATTTTTTAATTAAGGTATGTACATTGTTTTTTTAGACATAATGCTATTGCACACTTAATAGACTACAGTATAGTGTAAACATAACTTTTATATGCACTGGGAAACCAAAAAATTCGTGTGACTCGCTTTATTGCGATATTCGCTTTATTGCGGTGGTCTGGAACCGAACCTGCAATATCTCCGAGGTATGCCTGTATAAATTGAAAAAAATATTTCTAGCCTGTTACTATGGTAAAGACAATGTCAAAATATGCACCAATCGTAACTTGATTTGAGGATATGATCCTGAGTGTCCAGACATCCTGAAAAGGGACAACTAAGTGTGGTACAAATTGCCTGTGTTTATTCTGAAGCCGCTAATGATCAGCCACATATCACCATTTTCTAATATTTTGCTGCTGCTCAAAGCACACCAAAAAGGAGATAGGTAGCTATGGAAAGAAGATAAGACTCTTCTGAGTTAAACCACATTTTGGCATCATGAATGGATGCGTATTAGCTTATAGGTGCAACAAGGGAATGCTGACATCTGTTCCTTTTCCAATCTAATTATTGATTGTAATAGGTAAAGAATGAGTGGCAAAAAAAAAAAAAAAAAATTGTTATAAGCACAATACCAGTAACACTTAACTTTATTACAAGAGTTGTTTTGACTTGCAAATTACCAGCTCAACACATCCATCACTGACCTTTAAATAACATATTATAGGAGAAAATTCATACTTGATTTAAAAGATATGCTGAATTTAGTACTGGTGAAAAGTAGCAGTCATTTTGACTTCAGGAGGGGTGCAACCTCCAAGGAGAACTCAACCCTGGAACAACAGTGACTTCACACCCAAGAAAGCAGAGGGTCCACAGGGCAGCAGAAATCAACTAAATATGGGCTCTTTAGAAATACAGAGTTGGGACTGGGAGCATATGCCAGTAACAGGATACTGTGGGGTAATGTGGCAGGTTTGCAGATGTGGAGGTTGAGGTCGTCTTCTCCATCCACAGCACAGGTACAACATAAGCACTGGCAGAGCAGTTATCTTCCATATAGCCTTGCTATTCTGTTTTAGCCCTGACACAGGGGCTTTCCTTTCTCAGGGGACTATTGTCTACAATAGGAAATTTTACCAGTGATTTCCCACCCATTCACATCTGCTGTTAGTAGATCCAATGCAGACAGTTCCAGAGGCTTCTAGGCTCCTACCACTGGGTTTTGCAGTTTAATTGACACAGCAGTAGACTCTGGAAACTGTTAGGGCTCTCTCTCTCCTATGTGGTCCAACTCAGTGTTGTAGCTGACCTGGCACCAAACCGCTAGGAATCCTTCCTAACGGTCTTGGGCCAGATTCTGGTCTCCCTGAAACAGGACAGCTTGGAGGCAGCTGTGGTGCTCCCTGGTGGTTGAACTAATCCTATCCCCATCCCTGGCTCCTCAGGGTACCCCCCCCCCCCATTCCTGCCACATTTTTAGGAAATTTGTATTTTGAGACTGTCTCCTGGAGTCCTTGAGTGAGCTGCTGGGATTTTGTTCTCATCTTAGCTCTGTTTAACAGGACACCCCAGTCCTCCTCATGCCAGCAGTTTACTGAAAAGCACTGCTTATGCTATTGGCACCTGTGCCTCCACGATGCTGGTCATGACTCAACTTGGCCCAATTGCACCTTAAGAGCTCTCTAATCATGGCCTCCAGCCACCTACTGCTGCCTCACATAGATTACTCTGGATTTATTCATTGTGCCCTCTAGCTTTGTTTAGCCTGAACTTAGCCTGTCAGGCACCTATACCTAACAAGGCTCTCCCATTACCCTGTGTCCATACCCCTGCTTCAGCTTCAGCCCCTCTTACCAGGCTTCAGCACCACTACCTAGCCTTAGCCCTCCTAACCTTGGCCTAACTTGACCAACCCTGTAGGCCCCTGATCCTATGCCAGCCTAGTATTGCTCCACGACAGCCCTCCAGGTCTCTGACCCCAAACCAAGTTGCTTTTACAGCATATCCTTCCAGGTACCCCTCTAGCCCCTACCCACCCTTCCAGGTGCAACCCAAACCTCTGGTTAAGCTGACCACAAAACACAACCATAAACTTGCCAACATCTAACATAATCTGCTCTACCTTAGGTCTCTGCACATTACAAACACTTCTCCATCCTATGTTTCTGTTTTTATGTTCCCTACAAGCACAAGCTCCTCTCCTTAAGAGAGAACCTAACTCCTGCTCTAGCTCAGAGCTGAGCATGCATCTCTCTGGGCTCCACCCAGTTTGGTCACATGCCACTCCCTTAGCCCAGGTGACTCCCTTTACCTCAATAAGCTGCCTCATTTTCTCTGCTGCAGCTTGCACAGCTGAGCTTCCTCCTCTAATGTAATTGGCCTAAGTTCAGCCATCCCTACCAGAATGCAGTTCTAGCCTGCTGTTCTCCCCTCTTAAAGTAACAGGGGCCTTGGATCCCTCTTAAACTCCCCCATGTCCTTTACTTGCACCAGTGCAAGTTAGCTGGAAGCCTAGTGGATTCAGCTACTCAGAGATTCTTTAGCATAAGAGAATCCCTGAGTAGTAAAGGACTGGCCACAAAAGCCATGCCAGAGAAACGAGCAGTCAGAGCGCTTCTGCGCTCCAAAGGGTGCCAGCTGCTGGGGTGGATTCCCTGAAGGCCATCGCAGCCCATGAAATTTACAGTAGGTCACAGAGTGCTTTTAAACCATGCTCGGGCCATCTCAGCTTCTGGCAGCCCCTGGGTTGAGGCAACACAAAGGTAGCTTAAAACTCTGGCACAAAGGATGATCGGGGACTCTGAGTACAGACAAAGTCTATAGTAAATAAGAAAGTCATCTTCTACACTTAGTTTTTAGCTTTGTTGAGGCTGCAAGCTAATTGTAAGAAAGTTTTTTGTGACATGAATACTAATCCGCTTGGGAGTGAGGGCAACCCATTTCTCACTGAACAACCAGGAGATGGTTACTATCTTTTAATTCCTGCTGTCCTGGGTGAGATTTGGACAAGCACCACAGGCATGAAAGCATCAGTCCCCTACAGGCTTCGCATACAATATTTTCTACAGTAAAAGTTTTCTCCTCAGGAATGTGGGCCTTACTCTATGTCACATCAAACTGATATACATGCCAAAACCTAAAATGTTCCTTTAGAAATTGGAGAACAGCTAAAGTCTTCCTATACAAATGAGACAGGCCTTCAGAGTCTTCTAGGGCAAAAAAATGACTTTCAAAGCTACAATGTGATAACAACTGCAACTGCTTGGCCTAGGCAAACTCATCACTCAATAGCAACAGATCTGAAGACAGAGCAAAACAAGTTAACCCCAGGATACCAGCAGCTAACACATGAACAGCAGCAGAAGTAACAGTGGCAGCTGCAAGAGCTGCTGCTGTTGGATGCATGGGAGTTATACATTTTGAGAAGCTGCTGAAAACATGTACCCAAAGCAAAAAAGTTATGGGTGCCCAGGTTTTATTTGTTGGTCCTACTTACCAAATAATACTTTCTTTCTATTGTGAAATGTTATGTTTACCTAATTTTTCTAATGGAATAACAGTCAATTCCATTTTTTATTTTTAATATAGGAGAAGTTAATGAGTGGAAGTTT